TAACTAAGCATGAAGAGTTTGTTGTTTTGTGTTGTGTTCTTAGAGCTTGTCTGGTTTGGTTATGGCTATGGCCAATCTCAAGATGATCATCATCCTCTTGCTCCAGCCTTTTTTGTCTTTGGAGATTCCTTAGTTGATAGTGGAAACAACAATTACATTCCCACTCTTGCAAGAGCCAATTACTTCCCTTATGGAATTGATTTTGGTTTCCCCACTGGTCGTTTCTGCAATGGCCGTACAGTTGTTGATTATGGAGGTAAGTAAAAATAGACTTCAAAGATCATGAAATTGTGTTTTACATTTTCACATTTTTAACTAACTTTCTCAGTTAAATGTTTACATTTCTGTTCTAATGTAGCAACGTACCTCAATTTGCCATTTGTACCACCATACTTATCTCCTTTGTCCATTGGGCAAAGTGTGCTGAGAGGGCTTAACTATGCATCTGCAGCAGCTGGGATTTTAGACGAAACTGGTCAACATTATGTGAGGATCAAGAAACTTAAAACTCTTCCGAATAAAAACTTTTACAAACTTCTTTTTTCAGATATAGATTTACCTTTGTTTTCCCAGGGAGCAAGGACTACATTTAGTGGACAGATATCGCAGTTTGAGATGACGATCGAGTTACGTCTTCGGCCTTTCTTTCAAAACCCTGCAGATCTGAAAAAGTATCTTGCGAAATCAATAATTGGGATCAATATAGGAAGCAATGATTATATCAACAATTACCTTATGTCTGAGAGATACTCTAACAGTCGAATCTACAACGGAGAAGAATATGCAGATCTCCTAATCAAGACTCTCTCAGCTCAAATATCGGTAAATTAATGATTATTCATTACTCTCCCATAATCATCACAATAGTGATGCATAATCATCACTAACTAAAGTGTGTTCTTTTACAATATTTGGCAGAGACTATACAACTTAGGTGCAAGAAAAATGGTGTTAGCTGGAGCAGGACCATTAGGTTGCATACCGAGTCAGTTATCTATGGCAAGCGGTAACAACAACAACAGCGGGTGTGTGACAAAGATCAACAATTTGGTCTCGATGTTCAATAGTCGTGTGAAAGATCTAGCAAATACTGCCAACACAAGCCTTCCAGGATCTTTCTTCATCTATCAAAACATATATGATCTCTTTCATGACATGGTTGTGAATCCCTTTAAATATGGTAAAAGTGACCTCAACCTTCTTTATTTAAATAGGGATTTACGCTTATTTCTATATCAGAACTTAGTTTCAGTTCTCCTTTTTGCAGGTCTTGTTATACCAAACAAAGCGTGCTGCGGGAACGGGAGATATGGAGGAGCCTTAACATGCCTTCCATTGCAGCAACCATGCTTGAACAGGCAAGAATATGTCTTTTGGGATGCATTTCATCCAACAGAAACTGCCAACAAAATCATCGCTCACAATACTTTCAGCAAGTCTGCAAAATATTCTTACCCTATCAGTGTCTATGAGTTGGCAAAACTGTAGAGAAATGTGTCCCTTCATTTCAAGATTTTATCGGTTTTCTAGTTTCAAGTTAAAAGACTTTTAAGTATGGGATTTATATGTAACAGTTGCCAAATCTTCAAGATCATTTCTGTGTTCCAATTTTATAAGTTAACCCTATCTTTCTCATGAGTGTTACCTAACAAGACAAGATCTTATTATTGAACAGTCGTTATTTGCAAAGTGAAGCTCAAAACTTAAGATATTAGAAAATGAGATTTCAGCATAGCAAACTAAAAGATAGCATTATATATTTTCCGTGTGGACGAGACATGGCTATAGAGAAAGTTCTCTTATCCAGTGAATGCTAATTTACAGAAAGCTAGAAACAAGTTTATCTTACAGTTTTTTCTCCCTGGAATTGTTAATCATTGGCGAAGCATATCATCCCTGATGAAGTCTTCATCAACAGGGAATCAATGTACACCAAAATGCTCTTCGATTCACATCTCTGACATGTTTACTCGGCAGCCAAATTGTTGTTCACTGGACAGATGCATCAAACCTTGGCTCATAAAAACACACTTGGCTGTTGCATGACTGAAGAGCACACCCGGAAATCCAAGACCAACTCTTCTTATCCACATTGTACAGAAGACCTTTTCCTTGATTCCAAGACGTGAAGCAGATCAAATTATCTTGTCCAAAGCACTCAAATCTCTCAGCTGAAAGTCTCAGAAGAGCTCGGAAGTATTTTGGTGGCATTCTACTTATCTCCACCCAAGCAACCTTTGTGTGATCAAGCTCCCATATCCTCATGCTTTGGAGGGTACTGTAGAGGCCAATCCTTCCCACAAGAAACAGTCGCTTCTGCGTTCCAGCAACTAAGTAACCGTCCAATAAAGACCTTGGGAATTTAGCTGGAATATGTTCCCATTGCCCTGTGTTAAGCCGATACATCATCAAACCAAGAGGCGAAAGAGTCTCTAGATATAATCGGGAATCACAATAAGCCATTTTTGAGGAGCATAAGTTCACCGCAGGCATAATCTGATGTAAAAACCATTTGTCAGTTTTGGAATCATAAACTTCGGTAGGAAGTGACTTATCGCCATAAATATCACTTGTGGCTATGACTTTGAACGATTTGTCTGAGCGATCTACGACCATAATCAATTGCCTTTGTTGGTTATAATGCATACTCGGTAGAGTCCTCCAACTCTGCATCAGAGGATTGCATACTAAAGTTTTAAAAGTTAAACCATCGAGTCCCGAAAAGCAGACAAGACCGCCTGAAGATCCAACCAACCAAAAAGCCCATGGAGGCAAAAACGTGAATGGAACTTTGTACCATGTCTTCAAAGGCAAGCTAAAAACTGAGCATTGCGGAATCTGCGGCGAGTTCTTCCAAAATGTGAGAAGACAAGGTCCGTGAGATGATACATTCGAGTGAAACTTGAGAAAACTATTATCCTGAAGAATAGAGTTCCATTTTTTACAAACCGACCGAATTCGAAATATCATAAACGGTGGAACCCTAGCTAAAATCTCGTTCAGCAAATCCTCTGGAAGCATTGCCCATATACCATCCTCCATCTGCACATCAACAACGACTGGTTTACCAAATGAAGCTACTGTTTCTTCCTCTAAACCACGAGGTTTCGTCTTGACCACTTTCTGCCTAGATGGACTTGTGTTTCTCGACCCAACTCGACCTAAAGGGCTAGTGTTTCTCGACCCAGAACCCTTTAATGGTGAAACTTGCTTCGATGAAGAACTACTCTCTTCGTCTGCGTACTTGGTAGATGCAGAGAAAGCCACCGAATTTCCACAATCCGATGACTTTTCCACACTACCCATCAACAATCCCCAAAATCCTAGACGTTCCATTCAAACCCAAATCCAAACCATTAGCTACTTTCGATACAACCTCAGATGACTCAGATTGTCCCAAATCTCCAGAATGATCACTCAATCATCGACGAAACAACAAACGAGTAGAGCATCAGATCTCCAAGCAAAAATCCAGCAGAAGGAACTCAAAACTCGCGTAAGAATCGATCGGAAGCTACGCGAAATCAGGTAACCTGGAGTTTGAGCAAAGATTCTAACTTTCTACCAATTATTTACCTCAAAGATTGTATGCAACAAGCTTCGTCCTTTCGCTTCCGATGACAACAGATGGGGTTTTCTCGAGAGCAACGCG